TGTGAGTATGGAAAACTAGCACGGGAGATGTCCTAATGAAAAAACATTTCCCCACTTAATAAATTCTCTCTTAAAGGCGATGTCCTAATGAAAAAACATTTCCCCACTTAATAAATTCTCTCTTAAAGGCGGAGGGCGGGACGAACAGCGTCAACCGAAAGTGCAACCCTCTGCGGAGATCGTGCGTGTGCGAAATGCAGGCGAGAGTGCGATTTGTCCGGTCCGCGCGCAGCCCTCTGCGGAGAACGTGCGCGTCGAGTGCGCGAAATGCAGGCGAGAGTACGATTTGTCCGGTCCGCGCGCAACCCTCTGCGGAGATCGTGCGTGTCGAGTGCGCGAAATGCAGGCGAGAGTGCGATTTGCCGGCTACCCGCGCAACCCTCTGCGGAGATCGTGCGTGTCGAGGGCGACGAGAGTGCGATTTGTCCTGTCCGCGCGCAACCCTCTGCGGAGATCGTGCGTGTCGAGTGCGCGAAACGCAGGCGAGAGTGCGATTTGGTACGCAACTCTAGTACATCTGCGGAGTATCTGGGGACAGCTTGAACTGGCGACTCTTTGAAGCTGCTGGTTTTACTAGTGAGTTAAGTGAATTAAGAGAGTTAGCTAACTAATTACTAACTAGTTATAAGCCTTAAATTTTTAAAAATATGAGTAGCTATTTTTGATTTTGGTTGAGATTGAAATATAAAAAACCATCACCCAAAAAATAAAAATAAATGCCAATGTCAAACAAAATGAACTTTTCGAAACTTGTTTTATTGATCTGAGCCTGTATATGTTTCAGGAAGCTCCAACTTTTTTTGGCCATGAATGGGTTCACCATTCATGTTTTTGTGACAGGGTTGCATATGAACCAAACATCACAAAGGAAATTGCATTTTTCATGAACAATATTGTTGCACAGCAGCAGCTGGAACAACTGGCGACTGTGAACTTGAAAGTTGAAGTTTTGCATCAAAAGTACAAAAATAACAGTGACTATAATGTCGAAGAGGGGCTTCCAAGCAGGAGCTTGCACAAGCTTTGCTGGTGAACAAATGAGCTTGCACAAGCTGAAACCTTGAAACACCATTTGAGCACTAACAGTACCCCAGCCCTGACACCTGCAACCATGTTTTTTCATTCTGGCAAGAGAAAGGTGCTGGAGTCAAGCACACAAAGCTGCCATCTTGGGCTTCTGTGTGGACCACTGGCTGCAAGATTCTGTCAAGAGCCATCAGCTTCAGCTGACCATGTGCTGCTTGCCACTTGCTGGACTGAGTTCCTGCCCTTGTCCCTTTGAAGGTCAGCTCATCAACAATGCAGAAATGAAGATTGTGTATAACCAGGAAGTGTTTCACTTTCCCACATCCCCAGAAGCTACTGTTTGCAATGGTCGGTTGCAGCAAAACAACATCACCTGCCTTGCAGGTTGTACCTGTTTGCAGGACACAAGACCTGGAGCACTCCATGCCTTTCCAAAAGACACCTTCTTGAACCAAGGTGCTCATTAGCTTCTTAGTTGGCTGTCGAGGCTCGACCACATGGCTTTGTGTGCTGAAAAGATCTTTATCCTTGACCAGAGTGTTGACATGCTCCATAGTGACAGCTGTAAGAAGTCCTTTCTCGTATGTTTGTAACTTGCAGTGAACACTTCCAAATTTCCTGGGTTGCTGATGCTTTCTTTCAAGAGCAAAACAAGAGGGAAGCTGGGACCATCTTCTCAAACAATCTGGCAGGTGCAGAGCCCAGTGTTGTTTAGGCTTCATGCCATCAGCAAAACCAGCTGCAACTGTGGACTGCAGTGCTTGTTCCACTAAGGACACAAGCTCCCTGGGTGAAGGCTGTTGCAAATGAGGGATACTGACCAAGAAATCCAGAAGGTTTGCCCAAGCGATGAAGCAAGCACACTGCTCCACCATCACATTGTGTGCTACAAACATCACTTGCAGAAAGTACTGCATGAGCTTGTAGATGCTGAGCATCTCTGAAGCTGAGCATTTGAACGTTCCAGCTTTCTTGGAACTTGTCACAGCCTTGGCATCAAACAATTTGCAAGGGTTGCAATTGTAACCTTTGGGCAATTGCCACAGCTGAATCCATGAGGCCAAAGTCTGCCACACTTTGACTGAGCTGGGAAGTGATTCAAGCACTTGATGCAAAATGTCATTCAAGACCCCATGGCTTGTCAGTAAATGCATGTAATCATAGCAGTAAAGAGATACTGGTTTGAGCAGTCCAGCTGATAGCAGTGTATCACTGCTGAGCAGCGCATGGTGGTTGTAGCTCAAGCCACTGGCCTGTTGGAGTTGTTTGAATTCTGCCTGGGTTGTTGTAGCAACCTTTTCCTTCAGCCTTGTCCAACTAGCAATGATTTCCTCATCGGTTGCTATGTGAAGCTGCTCATACTTGAGGAATTTGCTGAAGATTTTGGCACTTTCTCCTTCTGTGCTTTCTGCATCCCTCAAGCTGAATATATTGTTGCATAGGAAGCATGGCTTGCTGCCAATGTCTTGGCGATTGGCCCATACCTGCTTGTGGGCACTGCCATCCTGGAGAAGCATTCCCAGGGAAAAATGTAACCTTAGATTCCCCTTGGATGATTTGAGCAACACCCCAGTGGTGGCAGTTCCATCACCAAAAATGCGCTCCAAAATGTGTCTAAAGACTTGGCTGTATCCAGCTTGCAATGTTGCAACCTCTGAAGATCTCAGGATGGAGATGCAAAACCACAGATCTGATCTACTCAGCAAATGTCCAAGCTCCAAGAATGAGATGTAAAAGCACCAACATTTCCTGGAGGTACTGTTCAAAATGTTGCCAGGGTGAACTTCATCGGAATAACACACAGCCTGCCAGGGAGCTGCAAGAGAACTAGGCTGCCTGGCATGTTTGTCCAACAGAAAGTCTGTGAACTCTCCTGCTTGGTTGAAGATGCCAGAGAGCAGAGACAAAAAGTTTATGAACAAGAAAGCCACCTTCTCATTGTTCAGAGTGGTGGCTTGCACACTCTGAAACAAAGGCCCATACATACTCATCGAGTGATCCTCCAAGAACTGTTTTGCTTCATTCCAAATTGAGAATCTACTGTGCTGTCCTGGCAATCCACCTTCTGCAATTTCCTTGCAGATTGCTGCCAAAGCTGTTTGTGTGCAAAAGGGGACTGAGGCCCTCAAGTCTGTGATTTTCCTCTTCTTAGAAGAAGATGCATCAGCAGCCATGGTTGGGCAAATATATGGCTATAGTAAACAGAAAGCAATTGATGAAAATGCAGTGAGACATTCTGTTTTTATGGATGATAAAGGGAAACCTATGTGCACTATATGAACCTGATTGCTTTGTCTTTGTGTTGTAGCTTTTAGGAGGTAGTGATGAAAGTGGAACTACCAAAAATGAATTCACTGTATGTGAAAATTGTTTCAGTAGTTAACTCTATGGAGCCTGTACTCCAGGACAGAAAAAGTGATGTGGATGTGGAACTTGTTGAATAAACCAAAAAAGCCTGCGCAGGCTTGACAATGGAGCTTGCACAGGCTCAGTGACAAGTTCAGCCTGTACTGGCTTGTCGATGGAGCCTGCGCAGGCTCAGTGACAAGTTGAGCCTGTAGTGGCTAAGCTATGTCCTTTTTTCCAACACCTTGCACATGGTTGAGCCTTCTATTGGGCTTCCTCAGCATCCACCTTGGCAGCTATCCTCTCAACTGCTGCCCTTATTTGCTCCTCAGTGAACCTCATGTTGCCCTGGCAGTTCCTCACAAACTGCTCTGCTGAGTACCATGTCTGCCAGCCTGACAAAGGTTTGGGCAAACAGTTTGTGAGGCAACCAGATATACACAACACAGAAAGTGTTGTTGAAACATGTTGAAACCAACAAGCTGACAACTAACACTTTTGGTGCAAGCCCAAGCCTCCTGGGTTCAACCTCACATACCAATAGGTCTTTCGACCTCTGGCATCAACCCATGACTTGAAGCAAGCAGTTGCAGAAGGAGATGCAAGAGGCATTTTCCTTTCTTTGAGCCTTCACAGGGCTGCCTTGAAAAAGAATCATTGTGGAAGAAACATTCAAAAGCAGCCTTTGAACAATGGTTCTGACAACTTGAAGCAAAGCCTTCAAAGGCTGTGTCCAACATGAGCCTTCAAAGGCTGTGTCCA